ATAGCAAAACCGAAGGGTCATTTTAACCAAACTTGCCACCAATTCATAGAGTGGATATCATACTAACTACTCATAAAAACAAAATTGAAAAAAAAACTTTAAAAAGCTATAAAACAGCAAGGCAAAAGTGTGTTTTCATGCAAAATTCACTCATTCCAGTTTTCAGGATTTTCGGGATTTTTCAGGGCTAGCCAAAACAGCCAACTCCAAGACCCCAACAAACACCAAACTTGGCACACATAGACCTTCACCAAAAATAAAACATGGCAGAAAAAAACAAACAAAAAAAACTAAAAAAAAAAAAATCCAATGCACTTTTTAGGGTTGAGGGGTTTAACTAGCGATGAAAAGTGGGCGTTCCTGTTAACGACTTGTGCTTGAAAAAGGGAAAAAATCATTACTTGGGTTTAACCTTAGTTTTCCGATTCGTTTAAACCATAAATATATATTTAGAGAATTTGGATGATCCTCTTCAAAAAACCTAGTGGCGTTTTTTTATTTTTTATTTTTTTTTGTGGGCCTAATGGCTTCTCACGACATGGGACATTGTTTTTCCTATTGGCCCTTAAGGCCCTGTTCCGAACCTCAAAAATTTTAGGAAAGGCTCAATCAGATTCTCAACTTAATCGGGATCATGTATTGGTGGTTTAAAGCTAAGCCACATGATTCGATCTTTCTATATATGTTGAACCCATTTTCATATATTAACCAACTCACTGCTACAGGTATCTGTATGCTTTGAGCGTCATCACTCAAGGAGCACCCATTTACTAGTTGAAGGAAACAACTTCACTATTTATCAAGTAGTGTTGTCCATCATTTGGGCTTGTGCACCCAATTGTAATGATGGTATGACAAATTATCTCGACACCGACTTTAACTAGTCAATATCAAGAGTGAGATTTCCTTCCATCGCAAATCCTTTCATCATTTAATGAAAAGGCCTTCATTCTCCATATGGATGTTCGCAGCCCTTAGGCTGCGGTATAGTGTGTTTCCGCGTCTGTGTTAAGGTGTCGCATTTTTGGCGGCGGGCGACCAGGACGCAAAGTGGGTTCTTAGGGGGCAAAAAAATTTGGGGGACCGGTCCTTGGCAAAACTGCGGACTACCTACAGCTAGCTCTGCTAGAACTGGGACTTTTGGAAAAAGGAAGGATCGGTTCTTGGGTGAAAGTGGACCCCAAAAAGAAGTGGGGGACGTTGGACCGGACCCCGGGTAGAAGTGGACCCCAAAAAGAAGTGAGGGCATGTGAACCACAAAAGGGCCCTCCGGCCCAGGCATTGAGCCCCGTCTTCTCAAAACAGGGAGGTCAGGCACAACGAAATTAGCGTTTTGAAAGAGGCAACTTTGGCGATTTTCTGTGCTCGAACGAACATGCACAAAAATCTGAAATTTTGAGAATCCATAGATGAGGTCGTATTTTTTCCAGAAATAATAATAGAACATTTAAAAAAAATCATTTACGCTGCGAAATAATTGTCGCACCGATTCGGCACATTTTTCATTTTTGCCACTCCGCCATGCCTGGGCCAATAAATTAAAAAAAATCATTCCAACTGCAAAATAGATCGCGGGCGCAATTTGACCCATATTTAATTTTGCCAT